ACCATATTTTAACCTTTCCTTGAAAAGTTAAGACCAGTTTTTAATAATGGTCAGGAGTGTGATGCTTTTAGTTTGCTCCCAGTCCGGCCTAAAAGTGCTGTATATAGATCTATATTCTGCTTCAAACCTCATGTCTCCAGATTACATGCTTTTATACAAGCCTGGGTAAATCTAAGTTTGACATTGAAGGCATGTTGAGGTTAGTAATGTTTAATTTAGTCCATTGTTCAGTAGTAAGATAGAGTTGAAAATTGTTTTGACACCATGAGATAATGTTAAATGAATTATTTAGTGTTAAATAAAGAACCCTGCTAAATTATTTTAGAGTGTTCAAGGTTAATTAAAGTATTTTAAGACTTAGTTCTTTAAAAATGTGTTGTCTTTTCAGTCCATAGATTAACCTTTTGAATTTTAAATCATAAGATGTCCTCTTTTGATTAAAACAAAACCTGTGGAGTTGACGTTTAAAATGTGTAAGAAGGTTATGTTTTTATACGAACTCTTTATTTTTAAAAAGTTAATTCAGTGTTTTCTTTTTTATATTTAGAAGATTAACTACTTTGAGGATAAAAATGGTATGACACTATGAGTGCTGGAATTGACTTTTAAAACTGTTGCATTAGAACAGAAAGGAAAATAGTGCCACATTAATCTGAATTAGGATGCAGTGGCTTTAAGTAAAGTCAAGTGTAAGAATATGACAAGAATAAACTCCCATTTATAAAGAAGCACTTACCTTAACAAATTGAAACCCCGGGGAATTTTCAAACTGTGAAGTAATGAGAACAAGCATTTAATGTGAAAGAAAGGAGTTATTGCACACCTCCCTCCTTGAATGTCTCAAAATCAAATTGTGGATCAAGATGATTGAAACAGGGCCAGTAATTTGGTGGTAGCATAACAGATTATCATTTAGTGATGCCAACCCCCTGAGAACTGATTGCATTACGGGACAGTTAATATTAGATTACAAAGAGGTATATCAGAAACTGGCTGTCACTGTTAAATTTTTTCTCAAGTTCTAGCACTTTGAAAACATTCTTATATTGGTCTCTTCAATCACCTTTTTTCTCTGTAAAGGCTTATCTCGGTAGCTTTGAGATAATCTCATCTTGGAAGAGTCATTTTCACCAATCTTTTTACAACTCTTAAGCACAAGCAGTAATGCACTAACACTCAAATGAACACTTTAGGATTAGTGTTTACTTCATAGCAGCATACAGTCAATTGTCAAAATACCAACCCCACATCCTGGTCCCTCTGTAGTACTGTAGTTTATTAGTTAAAGATAAGCATTTGTTTAATGTTTGTCTTCCACTTGAGTTAGTGTTTCATTTCCTGCTGCATTCCCAACATGTAACCCAAAGAGGTACCCAGTAAATACTTGCTGGGTGATTGCCAGCAAGAAACTCCATCTGAAATCTGGTCACGGCACAGCTGCAATCAGATCGATAGAGCTGGAGAGCAACAGGGACTAGATCCCAGAGGGACATGAAGTCATGTGAAGGAGCTTGCTTCAGCCCCAAACATTAAGAGAGCATTAAGTAAGTCCAGTACCATCTCTGGGAGGACATGTCACTTCTAGACCTCTAGCAAGTGCTTTCTTCATTTTTCCTAGAAATTATATTTGGCACATGAAAAATACAGTAACATTGGGCCTCCCCTGGTGGCGCAGTGGTTGAGCAGCGCCAGTTCGATCCCCAGCCGCCAGCGAGGGTCTCACATGGTGCAGCAGACCTCTCCTGCCACGCCCACTGCTCCCCTCAGCCATGTTTTTCGTCAGTCTGCCTGTTCTGTTCCCTGCTCTGGCTCTGGTGAATTCTCTCTCTCACACACACACACACACACACACACACACACCCCGCACTTCTGATTGTACCCAGTCCTTGTATAAATAAATAAATAAATCTCTAAAAAAAAAAGAAAAGAAAAATACAATAACATTGTATCTATATGATTTATGGTTGCATATACTGTAAATTTAAAAAATAGTTCTAGAGCACTTTTCTTACACTTTATAAAATAAAAGAATCATTTGTGTATTTAAAGAATAGATATAAATAATTGCAGGAATTAAAATATTTATATTTCCATATAGAAATGATTGTTTAGTGAATTTGGGAATCATCTTAAAAACAAACCAATAGTATTTATAGCTTTCAAATACAAAAAGCAGTTGGTACATATCTAATATCTTCTGATTAATTTGGTATTATATACCTAAAAATAGGCAGATGTTAATAGAGGAACTAAATAATAAAAATATTGTACAGATATCTTTTATATTACAAGTTGCACTTTTGAATAAATTTAAATTTTTCATTATATTGGGTAATACTGTTTTGCAGCACTCCATGGGATTCAGAGGTGTAGGATCCCCCCTCTTCAGGTGTATATCACCAGCCGCTCCTACCACCAAGAAACCCATAGTCTTCTACCATAGTCCATTGGACCCCTTCCACATACTGCTCTCTACCACCTCCCACCCCCTCTGGTAGCCTTAATTTTACCTGCACATATCTAGGGTTTGGTTTTGGCTGAACCTTTGTTTTGTTTCTCTCCATTCCACAGATAAGTGAAACCATCTGGTACTTGTCTTTCTCCTTCCATCTTATTTCGCTTAGCATGATCCCCACCAGTTCCATCCATGTTGTTGAAAAAAAAAAAAAAAAAAAGTTCATCTTTTGTGTGTATTGTGTTTTTAACACCCGATTAGTATTCTACTGTGTATATATACCACATCTTCTTAATCCACTCATGTGTCCTTGGGCACTTAGATTGTTTCCACAACTTAACTACCATAAAAAGTACTGTAGTGAGCATAGGATGCCTGTATCCTAAAATAATTTTATTTTTTAATTATTTTTAGAATTTAGGATGAAAATTATTTTTAGCTCCTTTCTACAGAATTGAAGGATTTAAAGTGCCGTTCTAATACCTATTCAACCTGGTGTTGAATGCATTATTTTTTTTTTTTTTTTTTTTTTATAGAGGCATGTTTTTATTTATTTATTTATTTATTTGTTTGTTTTGTTTATACATGCACTGGGTACAGTCAGAAGCGCGGGAGGGTGAGAGAATTCACCAGAGCCAGAGCGGGAAGCAGAGCAGGCAGAAGGACCGAAGTACACTGCTGAGGGGAGCAGCGGGCGGCAGGAGAGGTCTGCGCGCCATGTGGGACCCTCGCTGGTGGCCGGGGAGCAGCCGGGGATCGAACCGGCGCCGCCGAGGCCGCGGGCAGCTTCGCAACCCAGCGCTCAACCGCTGCGCCACCGGGGAGGCCCTGAATGCATTATTTTTAAATTACCAACATTTTTATGGCTTTCAAACTAACCTTCCAAGAAGCAATGTTTCTTTATTTCATTAAGAAAGTATGCTTCCTGGGCCTCCCCGGTGGCGCAGCGGTTGAGCGCTGGGTTGCGAAGCTGCCCGCAGCCTCTGAGGCGCCGATTCGATCCCCGGCTGCTCCCTGGCCACCGGAGGAGGGTCCCACATGGCGCGCAGACCTCTCCTGCCGCCCGCTGCTCCCCTCAGCAGTGTGCTTCGGTCCTTCTGCCTGCTCTGCTCCCCGCTCTGGCTCTGGTGAATTCTCTCACCCTCCCGCGCTTCTGACTGTACCCAGTGCATGTATAAACAAAAACAAACGAATAAATAAATAAAAACACATGCCTCAAAAAAAAAAAAAAAAATAGTGTCTAAAAAAAAAAAAAAAAAAAAGAAAGTATGCTTCCTTTCCTGATAATAAAAGTAATAAATATTTGTTGCAGAAATTTTAGAAAAGATACAGAAATTTTTTTTTTAGAAATAATAGATTACATTAATTCTTATCTCACCTTTCATGATCTACTTTCTTTTAAAAATTTAATTGTTTTTATTAAATAGGCAATTTTCTAATGTGACTCTCAGTTTTTTTTGCTGTGATAGTTAAATCCCACTAGTTCTTTTTGGGCTCACTTTCCTTCTTCCTAAAATAAGTCTATTAGTGGTTCACTCCAGACCTATAAATAACAAACTTAGTTTTTGTCAAAAATATTTTATTTTTCATCAATTATAATTTAGCTAGACATGGTTAGCTTTTTTTTCCTTCTAATACTTTAAATATATGCTTGTATTCCAATATCTTACTGATAAATCTAAAGATAAAATGATACCTTTTGTCTTAAAAATTATCACCTTGAAAAAGTTTTTAGATGTACTGTACTGATATACTAATGAATCCATCTAATTTTGAAAATAAGAAAATGGTTGAAGTGAGTTCAGCCATTTTGAAGTGAGTTCAAAATGGTTCAGTGAGTCACTGAATGTGGCAATATTTAGTCCAAAACAAAGTTTCCTAAGGTTGCTAGTTGAGAGAGAGAGAGAGAGAGAGAGAGAGAGAGAGAGAGAGAGAGAGAGAGTGTGTGTGTGTGTAATCTAAGTATTGTGTTTTGTTGTATGCTCTACATAGTATCATATGTTTGTTTTGTGGCTCTTTTCCCAAAAGTAGTATTTTGAGTTACATTTTAATTTCGATGGGATTTGTTTGCAGTAGTGCAGATCACTGTCCAGTAGAATTTTCTGTGATAATGGAAATGCTCTGTAGCTGCACTATCTAAAAGAAAACTCAGTGCCTGACACTGAATGCCAGTGTATTATCTGTTTTTTATTTTTGTCTTTTGTCAGGTGAATACAAGTTCTGAATTAATAACTTGACCAGATTTAGACCTTATAATTTAAGATAATTTGTTTTTGCATGAAGATACTTTCCCAAAAATTTATAACTAGCATCTTTCTTATAGTAGTTTGTTTGACATATAGTATAAAATTAGAAGAAATTTATAGTATTATAATGCTATAGTTTGTATGTTTCATATTCACTGTGTTTTTGAAGTATTAAGGCTGCTATACCTTCTGAGTTTTTCATATATTAATTGTTTCTCATGTAAGAACTAAAGGAGTAACTCCTCAGATTTTACTCTAATAAACAAGTAAATCTGTTAATAATGCCTTTTCTTTTTCAGATTGCAAATAGAAGAGTCCTCCAAGCCTGTAAGGTTATCACAACAACTGGACAAAGTAGTGACAACCAATTACAAGCCTGTTGCTAATCATCAATACAATGTAAGTCTTTGTCGTTATTTTGTTATCAATATCTATTCTTTTCAAGATGATGCACTTTTCTATCAGGTGCTTGAACTATCCATACTTACTAAGGAATAGGATAATTTGCAGAGGATACAAAAGATGTTCACTCTGTATCCTAAGTTGAACAATGAGAAGAGAGCAGCCTTTATCTAAACTGCTTTGAAAAGGAATAAAACTTTAGTTTTCAATGTTTATGATGTTTTAAAATACAGTATACTTAATGAATACTAGTTTTTATTATCTTTTTCTATACCTTATAACTGAGAGTTTTTAAATATTTTGTGGATATTTTATTTTAAATGATCATGGAACAGGGCCTCCCCGGTGGCGCAGCGGTTGAGCGCTGGGTTGCAAAGCTGCCCGCAGCCTCTGCAGCGCCGGTTCCATCCCCGGCTGCTCCCCGGCCACTGGAGGAGGGTCCCACATGGCGCGCAGACCTCTCCTGCCGCCCGCTGCGCCCCTCAGCAGTGTACTTCAGTACTTCTGCCTGCTCTGCTCCCCGCTCTGGCTCTGGTGAATTCTCTCACCCTCCCGCGCTTCTGACTGTACCCAGTGCTTATATAAATAAATAAATAAACAAATCTTTAAAAAAAAAAAAAAAGATCATGGAACAATGGTATTTTTTCCTATTGATTAAGATCATTTTGCATAGTTTCACCTTTCACAGGCATTTTTATGGCCTCACACTACCCTGCAAAGTGAGAATTGCTTATATATGTTCTTTAAACTTTTTTTATAGAATTACATCTTATCTGTACATATGTATTATGTATGTTATATATATATATATATACACACACAATATATGACACACTTACATATGTTGTATAAAGTGTCTACTCGTATATGTTTTTAACTACAGTGAGGAGAAGAACACAATTTCCATAGGACTATAAAAAGATATAACCTTTCTGGGGGAGAGTTTGCTAATTTATCAAAAGCACTATAAAGGCAAATAACCTTTGCCCTAGCAGTCTTGTATCTAAGAATTTCTTAGTAAGACACGTGCCCAAAGACATATGTATAATAGTGTTTCTCTCTATTGTTTAACATAGAGAAAGATTGGAAACAAATACCCAAATTAAGAATCAGATAAATGTTTTAGCAGTTATTATTTTTACATGGTAGGAGAGGACTTTCTACTAGTTTTTGAATTGTTGGAGTTGCCGTAGTGAACTCATATTGTCTAAATTTTGCAGTGGGTAGTTAAACTTTTCTGTTGGGTTGGAAAAGAGAAAAAACTAGGGATAAGTGTTAGTACCTAGCCATGATAGTATCCTGCCATAATTATTTAAGATTTGCCTTCTCTTTGACATATTTTTAAATGCCAGCTTTTGCCTAAGATGTCTACTCCTGATAAGTCATAAAATCCCTGGCCTCAAGGAGCTGCCATTTCTTTCAGTTCTCTGGTTATGACTTTCTAGACCCCAGTTGGGGTATAATCTGTATTTCCTTTGACGTAGTAAGTCAACATTTATAGATTATAATCACTTTTTCCTAAATTCCACAAGGGTAATTCCTCTTATACTGTTATAGGCCATCATTTGTGAACAAAATATCTCTCTCAGGTCAATCAAAGCTGCCACTTTGCTAGTATGAAAGCTCTGACCTCTGTCTAGTTATGTTCTTAGTGACACTGGAAGTCATAAAGTGTTGTATTTTTACAATGTCTGCATTGTTTTCTGTATGAATACTTTATATTCTGAACTCCTTTTAAGATATAAAGCTATAAATCCACTTTAAAGACTCTAATATGAAGTGACATTTCAATTCATGTTATAAACCTTTATTAAGGTTCTCATGGTGTGAATGAGTCATTAAGCTAATGCAATTATAACAAATCATATAGTAATCATTGAGATTTTGTTTACATAAAAACAAACATTGATTATAATCTATCACATTGCATTTTTTTAATATAACAATTTCTTTCCTTGGGAATGTATCAGAATAAGCAAAGATACCTGCGTAGCAGTTTAGGCTGTTTGTTTGTTTTTCATACCTTTGAAAAGCATAGTGTATAATGTCAGCTCTTGGATGAGTATAAAACTGTTGTCATTATCAAAGGGGGACATTGACTTAAAAGGTTGGGAAATACCAACGTAGTTCAACAAGAATTAATTAGAGGTTGTGTAATTATGGCATTCAGTAAAAACATTTGAACTTAGCATAATGTTGAAATGTTTTCATTTCCAGGGGGAACTATATAAACATGAAGCCCAGTATTTCATTTTATTGTCTTTTTTTTTTTTAATTGAGGTAGCGTTGGTTTACAACACTTACATGTGATTCAGATGTATGTTACCACACCACACCTAACACTAAGGAACCCATAGACCTTTACCAAGGCCAGTATTTCATTGTAACAATTCAGATTCTTTGAATGAAATTTTCAGGATAAAAATAAGGGGAAAATTGTACCAAAAAATGAAAGAGGAGATGGAAAATGGCTTACATATTTGTGAAACTATTCTACATTTGATCAGAAAGAAATATACTTGTATTTAGTCCCATAAACTTTTTCATCTACCTATGACACATAGATAAGTTTGCATATATATGTCAACATCTATGAATATTTATACTGTCAATGTGTATGTGGAACTATCTGGGATATAATATCTACAATACTTGCCATTCAGAACACATATATTGGTCCAAAAAGAATTATATGATTAGCAGTATCTCTTAGAATATTCCTTCCTTGAAATCATGGCCCTAAAAATTCTCCCCTTCGTGGGATAGAAGATGTAAGGGTACTCCCTTAGTGGCCATTCCTTGCCTTAGATCTTTATTAAGTTTCTGAAATTTGAACTGGTTTAATATGTTGGAGTTGGGGACATTTAGGAATGTGTTTAATCCAGCATTTTGCAAATATTTGAACATCAAATTTCCCTTCCTCCAGCATTTGCAGTAGTGAAAAGAAACTTTGGCAAATAGTGGGTTGGCAAAGTTAGGATTTACAAGAGGCCCATTGAGTGAAGGTGGAATATATTGGAGCTTATATTTATCTTATTTTCCTCTAACAGGAAAAATTGCTCTTTAGAAATATTTACTGTGGCATTTCACCCTCATAACCCTCTGTAGTCCTTGTTCTAGCCAGTGATTTTTTTAGTAAAAATTGGAGAACACAAAGGGCTGAGAATGCTGCTTTCAGCACCTCCTGTTTTCATTTGCTTCTAGCTTTTTAGGTTTGGTACCGCATTAAGGGGCTTGCAGAGTATGGTGTCTATTAACTAAAAATTCAATTTCACAAAATGAATAAATGATTTAAAAAGATTTTGCAAAGAACCTCTATGTTTAATACTAATAAAGCAAACATGAAAATAAAAGTAGAAAAATTTATACTTCCCTTGCTTCTAAAATGATCTCTATCAGTCACTTGACGTAGAAAGATGACATAATCCAATCTGACAAGAACTCAGTCCTCCCCAAAAGGAAATTATTAATATCATTTGGCTTGTCATCCCCTGTCTTTAATGATGATTCAGTTAGTGTCTATCATGGAAACAAAGCAACTCTAGATTTTTCAAGCAGAAAGGGATTTGACGTAGGGAATTGGTTACAGATGGTTTATGAATACAAAATGGAAGGGCTGGAGTTACAAAAAGGAGAAGGGGGTTTGTTACCAGAGATCAGGAAGCTGCTGCTGCTGCCACTGGCTTTCTTCCCACAAGCATAAAAAAAGAAAAACTTTTCCTACTTTCATTCTCCCATTGGCAGAACCCCAGCGGGAAACCAACTGGCAAGGGAATCTTGGGAGTAAAGGCACAGGTCAACCTGCTGCCACCACTGCGAAGGTCAAGAGCTGAAAACTTGTCAGAAATAAGTGCCATTTGACCCTTGACCTTTGTGTGTTGTAAATTAAGCTAAATCAGCTATTGCTAGTATAGAATTATCAGTTTTCAGTTCATTTAAAAGCTAAACATCTGGAACATGAAAATAAATAGTGTATGTTGAGTGCAAAAATTTTAAGTATTTTGTGATTTTGACAAATGAAATTAAAACTTAAAACTCTTGGGCCTCCCCGGTGGCACAGCGGTAGAGCGCTGGGTTGCGAAGCTGCCCACAGCCTCTGCGGCGCTGGTTCGATTCCCGGCTGCTCCCCGGCCACCGGAGGAGGGTCCCACATGGTGCGCAGACCTCTCCTGCCACCCGCTGCTCCCCTCAGCAGTGTACTTCGGTCCTTCTGCCTGTTCTGCTCCCCGCTCTGGCTCTGGTGAATTCTCTCACCCTCCCGCGCTTCTGACTGTACCCAGTGCATGTATAAACAAAACAAATGAACAAACAAATAAATAAATAAATAAAACATGCCTCTATAAAAAAAAAAAAAACTTAAAACTCTTAAAATAACATTTTGTTTTCATTCATTCCTTTAAATTTTGTTTGTGTTTGCTTTATAATATCTGTGCATATTAACACAGTGTAGTACATGTTTGTAGTTTACAAGTAGATATGCATAATTCATGCTTTGTATATTTTGCTGGTAAAAGTACATAATCAAAATGTAGAGTGAGCTGATATGTAAGATTCCTTCCAACTCCCTTTACCTCTGATTACAAGTGATGATGCTTCTGTATGTGTTTTTAATGATTTTTGTGGACATCATTATCTAGCCTATATGAATTTTGCAGCATTCGAATCTGAAGTCTGTAGTCCTTTGACCTTTTTCGTAAGGAACCCATTCTCTCTCATGAGGAATCATGTCCTTTGTTTACATTGTGGTTCTCAGTGAGGGCTGTGCACTGGAATCACCTGTTCAGCTTTTAGAAAAGAAAAATATTTTCAGAGATTGATTTAAGTGCTTTAATGTGGATCCCAACAATCTCAAATTGTTTAAGTTCTCAGAGTAATTTTAGCATGTAGTAGATCTGCTCCAAAGAGACAGGAGACTTTTATAATCCTGGCTGCTATGTCTTGTTGGGGATGGAGGCGAAAAATGATAGCTGGAAAGAGACCAGGAAGCCTCTTTCCAC